CTCGAATCTGAGACAGTAAAATATGGCCATGAGTTCCGCGGGACTCGGACCCGAGAATGACTGCGCTGGCGAGGAACAAACAGTAATTTCAAATGACAGACTCATCCTCTCGTAAGAGAGGATGTTACATAAGAACTATGACTGCAAGGTTACAGTTGAAAAGAAAATGCTGGTCGTGAGGCTCAAGGGGCTTGGCGCCAAGATGAACTAACTGACTGTAACCCGCCAATCTTAAAGTATCTCTGACCCCGACTCTGATGTAGTTGTGTAGTAGTATTAACCAGCGGGCAACGTGAGCACAGAAGCTGAAGAATCTCCAGTGCTTAGATCCGTTACCAGGAAACGACCAGTGAAAGCAGACTGAGAAGACTTAGCGTGCGCTCTAGTGATTTGTAAAGTGTGGAGGATTAATGATAGCGCCATAATTACTTGTAGTTACCATCTGTAAGTGGTCAATAAATCCATTCATCAATCCAAACCCCGTCTACGAGTATAGTCATTCAGTCACTTGACAATACTTATAATTTCTGATATTAAATTGTGGTAAAGCTAAACAGGCCGGTCACGGTAGCCGAGCGGTCTAAGGCATGCATTGTCTTCGCTCGCTCGAAAACCGAGATCGTGGGTTCGAATCCCACTCAGGGCATGGATGTTTGCGTTTTTCTGTGTTTGTCTACAGGTAGAGGCCTTGCGAAGAGCTGATCACTCGCCCAAGGAGTCCTACCGTATGTGTAAGATCTAGTAAACCGAAGTGAAACGGAGAATTTCATGGAGGTAGGCCTAGGCCCAAATTGGGGCTGTAGCGCCACAGGAAAAAAAAAGCTAAACAGGTAAAGCTGTCCCTGTGCTTAATTAAGCACTGTGCCATGAGGATATATAGGGGAGTGGATGTATAGATCCATCATTCCTGACTTCGGCACTAGAGGGAGATGGTCAGCTTCACGCCCCTGCCTCTTTAGCCCAGGGAAAAGAAGCCCCAGTACCCATTGGCTAGGAGGCTGTGTGCGCCTCAGAGCCGGTCTGAGCACTGCGGAGAAGAAGAAAATACTTGCACTGCTGGAAATCAAAAATTTTATTCTCTTTATCCACTTCAATTTTGACGTTTTCCACAAATGCAAGAGGCTTGGCTTGCCGCACACTCCACTACCTGTGGCTGTCTTGTGGTACTGCACATTTCGCTGTGCTTCCATCGAGCCGTAGGAAGGAAGGTTAATGCCCCGGCGCAGCTTTGCCCAACTTCCGGTAACATCGGTTTCGCATTGCAGGGTCGCCGACATTCCTTCTGGCTGCCCCCCCAACCCTCCTGACAAGGATAACTCACGAACAGAAAGTTGTACTGCATTTGGAGTGCAGTCAGACCCAAATCTGCGCCACAAGGAATCTTGCGATACCAGCCGCGGGGCCAGTGGATGCACCGTTCTTGCAACCATCTGGACCAGATCCTCCCCCACCCCCAAGGACACAATTGTTCGCTATTTATTCTAGAATCATTCCTCTCTGCTTAGTGATTCATGTTCCATCCTGCTGTGAAAATCACCACAGATAATGCAGGATTTGAGGTCCTCACGGCTGTGGTTATGAAGAGTTCTATATTGTGGAATATAATGCTATGTAGTCCGCTGAAAGTCAACCGATGTTTCGGAGGAACATATCGCCTCCATCTTCAGGGTAGAATAAGCCGAGCAAGTACCAGGGTGAAAGCAGACTCGGCTTACTACCTGCTTTCACGTTGGTATCTTGCTCGGCTTATTTGGGCCTGAATATGGAGAACTAGACGGCGTTATGTCACAGAAGATAGTACTCCACATCATAGATAACATTTTTGTGATATCACTAATGGGTGACGATATTCCTGCCCACGCAACACTATTCCAGCACGCGGTGTCAGCGTCTACGCGAGCGCACACAATGCGTCCGTTGTAGAAATAAAGAAGAAAGGAGAATGCTACGCTTTCTTCTGGCCCCATTGCAGACAAAAAACTACGCACCGCATTCTGCAACTGTGTGATGTCCTCAGCAACGTCCGTCATAAAGTACGTTCGTTACAACGGACGTATTTTGTGCGCTCGTGTAGACGCTGCCTAAGCCCCCTTGTTTACGCACGTATGTGCTGTCTTCAAGTCCGGTTTTTGGTTACAATTATTCTGTCATTTATTTAGAGTAAATTATTAGATACTGGAGTCTTTTGCCTTCGATGACCGCCTCTGTGGTCTAGTGGTCAGAGTTCCTGGCTACAGACCCAGAGGTCCCCGGTTGGATTTCCGGCGCTACCATTTTTTCTGAGAAGTAGTGGATCTGGAACGGGGTCCACTCAGCCTCGCGAGGATAACTGAGGAGCTAATTGAATCGAAAAGTAGTGGCTCCCGTCTAGGAAACCGAAAGCCGTGGGGATTCGTTACTCTGACCACGCGACACCCTCTATCCACTAAAGTTGGCACTAACTTCGCCGACAAGCGGCGGTCACTCGGTCGGTATAGTTCGCTTGCGGACTAAAGCCACGGATTTTTTTCTTTTTTGCCTTTGATAGGGCTTAAGAAAGAAAAAGTTCACTTCGAACGCATGTCTGAAATGGTTTTGAGGTATTTAATTTTCAGTTTTGAAAAATAAATCCCAGTTTTTTAAATTTTCCAAGAGGCAAACGATTCGCATTTTAATGGATCAGTTCAGTTCCCATATATTAGTACCATTAAGATAAGCATTATAACCCCTCAGTGTGCACACTCGACCCATATAGCGCGGGGCACATCAGCCGCTGGTCTCTTAACTGTACAACAAAAATTTAACTTGAGAGAGGTCAGGCCCGTCTAGCCTGCTTTCTCTTGAAGTTGCGGTGAAGGTAAATTTACTTCTGCGTCATGAAAATGTAGGGAGTGGAGGTATTGACCCATATATTCTTAAATTCCACACTATATGGTGATCAGTTTCATGACCTGACCGCTTGGCCCTTGGGGAAAGAGTCCTTAGTGCCCATTGCATAGGAGGCTGGATAGATCCCAGAACTCTGTGCAGAAGAGAAAATTCTCTCCCCATGCTGGGAATCAAATCTCGGTTCCCCGGTTGTCGAACCCGTAGTCTGATCATTGTTCTCTCTGAAGTATTCTGGTATGGGCCGCCGTGTAGATCGATATATATATATATATATAAACATATCGGAGGGACTTGCCCTCTTCAGCCCTGAGGATGGAAGCAGCAGATTCTTCCTAAATGCTAGTACCTCTCTACCAGACTACATGGCGTCACATCCCAGTTTCAATACTCACTGCTCTGAGAACTACAAATTTCGCGTACTTATTCTTGATATGATAGGATAGCGCAGTCGGTATAGCGACTGGCTACGAACAGGGTGAACGAGGAGTCGGAGTTCGAGTCCCGGTAGGAGTAAGATTTTCTTCTCTCCACGTTCTTCTCTCCAGACCGGTTCTTTGGCCCACCCAGCCTCCTCTGCAGTGGGTACCGGGGGATCTCTTTCCCCGGAGGCAAAGCGGCCGGGGCTTGAAGCTTACCACTCACTTCCAACCAGTGCAGAGGTCAAGAATACGTGGATCTATACCTCCAGTCCCCATGGTCTTCAGGGACAGCTTTATACGTTTTATTCTTGGTGTTTAACGTCGCTTTTAATAGGTCAGACTATATAGCATTGGTTTGGTAGGACGATTCGTGAATAATGAACTGGAAGGGATGTGGAAGGAAGCGACTATGGCCTAATTTGAGTTACTATCGCAACATATGCGTGAAGAGATCTCATGAAATCACGAGAAACCTCAGTCAGAATACACAGCACGAAGCGGGGTCGCCATGTTCGGTTTCAGGACCACGGGCCTGACGAACAACAGATGCAACTCTAATTTGAGATCTGTTTCCCACGGCCGCGTAACATGAAGACCGGCATTGTTAAGCTTTCACTGTGTTCCAAAGGTGATGTTCATACTACTCTTGTGCATTGTTGCCAACATTTCGGAGGTACATCCTGCATCCATCCTCAGTATCGAAACACTGCCCACATTTACAAGGCGTAGAGAACCAACAGCCGAATCAACATGAAGAGCATTGCCATGTCACCCCTTTCTACGTCACAAAGACCGACTCGGAAGAGCCGCTTTGGGATATGATCTGTGCTTACTGCGAGTGCCATACGAAGCACACGCCTACATCGCGAGGCAAACTGCGCAGATATTTTGATGTTAAGGCACGTGACACGAGTTTCCGCTGCTTGAAAGGGGAAATCGAGGGATCAGGCTGTCTTGAAGTGGTCATCTTCACTGGAAATGATGCAAACATCCGTGCTTCGAAAGGGATTTGAACCCGCGGCCCCAGTATTTAGGCAACTGTATATAATAATAATGATGATGATGATGATAATAATAATAATAATAATAATAATAATAATAATAAAGAGGAGGATGAGAAGGAGAAGAAGTAGTAAAGAAGAAGAAGTAAAGAAGAAGAAGAAGGAAACAGCAATACACTCCAGGGAGCAGAGCCCTTCTTGAGAAACTGTCACCTCTTCCTCCTATCAGAGTAATGATATCAAGAATATGGGGCGGCCTGGTATGTAACACGCACGGAGAAATGTGAAATGTACTCACAACTTGGTAGACCTAGACATAAAAGGAATGACAATATTAAAACTGAACTTAGAGAAGTAGGGTCACTGGGATATTTGCTCTCTCGTGTGAATATGACAATGAACACTGAAGATTAATGTTTTCGGATGTGTGATTTTGTTTAGTCTGGTAATATCTGTCAGCGTTTTGGAGGAACCCGCTGCCTCCGTCTTCAAGGTAGAACTATGAATCACATGGTAATGAACCTTCAGGTTCCATAAAAGGCGATGTATTTCTTTGCCAGCTGACCGACTATCAGCTTGACAAGAAGGACCCTGCTACGTGGGGCTTTTGACGTGATTTCCGTACTAGAGACGAACTGTTTGTTGTGTTTGTATGCTAGTTATATGCATCAGGGTTCATCAGTTTTACGTGTGTTATGCAGAGGTTGCTTACCTGGTGCCATCTGGCAGTAAGAACCTGAAAGAGAAGAATGACGACAATTAGATACCCCCTCCACCAGGCCAACAAAGGAATATTGCATACATTGTATGATGCAGAGAAGAGAAATTGTTCCCCTATTTTTTTTTGTTCCGTATTGGTGAGAGAGTTGGGGTTCAGATTACGAGGAGAACATAGACTGAGGATCTTTGAGAGCAGGGTGCTTAGGGGAATGTTCGGACCTGAGAGGGAGCAAGTGACACGAGGATTGAGAAAATTACACTCCTCGCCAAATTGATTGGAATGACAGCATCGAGGGGAAGGAGACGGGCAGGTCATGTTCTACACAAGTCCATAAAAAGTTCAGGAAAACCTGAAGGAAAGGAACCACTAAGAAGACCCAGGCATAGATGGCAGGATAATATTAAAATGAGCCTTAATTAATAGGATCGGAGGGTATGGACTGGATTCATCTGGCTCATGATATGGGCCAGTGGCGGGAGCTTGTGAACACATTAATGAACATTTAGGTTCCATAAAATTTTGGAAATTTCTTGAGTGACTGAGCAACTGTTAGCTTGTTTATGTGGCACAGCTTCCTGCGTGTGGGGAGCAGTGGAATGCATGTAAGGAAGGGACGGCAAAAGGATAAGACAAGAAATGAAGAAATGCAAGTTTAAAATAAGGGCGAAGAAAGGAAAACTAAAATTTAAAAGCAAAGATCAAGAGTAAAACTAAAACAGATACAGCACAAGACATACAGACGTACAAAAGGAAAGACAGTCATAACAAGCAAGAAAGAATAAATAGGCTTTTTTCTTGTATGAGAAAAAGAGATCAGATCAAGGAACAGTAAACATTCAGACCACGTGAAGAGTACTGCCTTCCGAGATAACACTGTGTAGTACGGCTGAAGTCCTCCGACGTTTCGGAGGAATGTAGTGCCTCTATCTTCATAGTCGAAGAGTACCGTGAGCCAAGCAAAAACTAGCAAGAAGCACATTACATCATTTTTGCATGCCTGAATACGAATGTGCTGCTACTAGTAGTAGTACCTCCACCTCCATATGTCTTCATAGCGCAGTGTTTACGTAATTACGTCCAGGGACAACTTCCTGTGTCAAGATGGCCAGTCAAAAGACCTTCCGGATGCATACTGACTTCTAGTCAGCAGTCCGGAAAATAACAGAATACGGGAACAATTTAAATATTATGGAGTATAAAAGTTTAGTTCCTACAGCACAGAAAACACTGCGTCTCCATTACAAAAACCTGGTTAATGCTGTTCTGGGAAGCAATCGCTGTTTATTCTCACAATGACACATTCTGTGGGCAAATTACAGAGTTTCTTTATTGTTAAAGCAGGTTTTGCATCTGACCTGGTTCAGTGCAGAATTCGGGAAGTTTGTTTCGAAAAGTAGGAAACTCTGTTACTGGCATTTGTGTGTAGAATGCAGAAGCCACTTCCTGACATCTTCGTAACGTGAATTCTAGTCATTCGTCGTCTTCGCTTTTCATTGGATCTCAGATGGCTGTGATAATACTGTGACATGTAGTCCCATTGTCAAGTATTATTTTTTTTTTATTATTGCTATTGGGGTGGGACTAAGTCCCTTGTACTGCGGTCACTTCCGGCCTATTGTACCAGCCCCAGATGATAGGTGAGAGTAATTGTGGAGCAATTGGTGGAATGGAGATTGACAGGGGAAACCGAAGTACTCGGAGATAACCTGCCTCAACGTCACTTTGTCCACCATTAATCCCACTTGACCAGACCCGGGATCGAACCCGAGCCGCCGCGGTGGGAAGCTAGCGACTAACCGCTTGAGCTATAGCGCGGCCTTTCATTGCCAAGTAACTGATGTGTAAACAGGCGACAGTACAACAGCTGTTACTAGGGAACAGTTCTGTGGACACATTGTTTCCCCAGCAGCGAGACAACGCGCAAGAATGGAAGAAATGTTTTCTGTGCGGTTCGTGCCGGGGATACATAATTAGCCCTGATAGTCGCAGGAGATGACGAAAGGGGAACCCAGTGCCTGGGGGCTACAACCGGGTCACCCTGTTCCTGGGAGTATAAATACGGCGACCTGGCCCTCCAGGGTGGAGAAGTCTCGAATCTGAGACAGCAAAATGTGGCCATGAGTCCCGCAGGACTCGGACCCTAGAATGACTGCGCTGGCGAGAGCTAGCATCAGTTAAAAAAGACAGACCCATCCTCTCGTCAGAGAGATGTTACATAAGGACTACAGCCGCAAGTGTTCGGTTGGAGAAAAATTACTGGTTCTGAGTCTCAAGGGTCTTGTCGCCAAGACGAACTGATTGGCGGTATAACGACAGTCGTAAAGTAACTCTGACTGGCTCTGGCTCTGACTCTGACTCTGACTCTGACTCTGGTTGAGTCGGTTGAAGCCAAGACCTTCTGAACATTTATTGGAATCTACCCCATATTCACAAGTGAGCGTGTAAGCGCTAACATTAAACCAACCCTCCATGAGTCATTGATCGGATTAATAATGACTTATGCTTGCCCCGCCTAGGAATTTGCGGCAGACACCTACCTAGGAAAACCGCAGGACCCACAAAACAAGACATCATTTACTCTCATTCCCAATCGTTGTTTTGAAAATGTCTTCCCTCCCTACTTTGGCATTGAAATCTCCTAGTACCTGTTCTAGTTCTTCATAGAACCTACCTTCATGTCATCAATTTTATTTTCTGTTGGGGCCGAACATTCATAACAATGATATCACACCAGCAACCTTTTAGTATTATCACGTATATATGATATCCTATCACTAACGAACTCTACCCTCTTAACTGGAGATATGATTCTCTTACACGAAGAATGTATATTCGCCTGCTGCTTCGGTGCCACCTCCGTCCCATCTGACCTCCTGTACTTCCGCTAAATCTAACTTATTCTTTGAGATTTCTTCCGCCACTGCCCTGACCGGAAGTGCCCTTTACAAACTTCTCTAACCTTCCAAGTTCCGAATTTCATGTCCATTTTCTTGTCGTTTCATGTCGTTTATCGAGAGGATCCGTCCAGATCCGAGGCTGCTTGCAAATTTTCGTAACAACCTTATTTCTAATGGTGAGGGGTGTTAGCACCACACCTAAACCCAAAGCTGGAGGACCGCCGCTTGTCGGCTGCCCGCGACTTCTTATTCAATATATTCGCAACTTCCCTCCATACCTGGAGGGCATCTCCTCCATCGGCAACCTGAGGACGCGCCATGCCGTGGTGACAAGGGGACCCACCTTACATAATAATTATTATTTTTATTATTATTAATACTGTTGTTATTGTCGTCCTTTTTTGGCTCAATGCGCTTCAGGTACTATTGTTTCTAGCGATGCTGACGCCTTTTGAAATAAACGGCTTGTCTTAAACGTGTTTTACAATCGCACTCCAACTACCGAGGTCAAGAGAAGGTGGATCTATACGTCCGCTCCCCAATATGCCTTCAAGTTTTAGTGCTTAATTAGTTAAGCCCACAAGGTCGCGGGTTCTGTTCCCGATGAGGTCATTGGATTTTTCACTTGTCCTAATCCTTCCAGCCGCACTATTGCCCTGGGGTCAACTCAGCCCCTAACAGAAAATAGTACCAGGAATGTTCCTGGGGGTAAAGGGCGGCCGGCGTATAAGGCCGACAACCTCACCGCCATCTGTGAGCCGATTTTCTATAAAATGTGGACGCCTCGACGTCTCGCAAACCTACGGGCCTCCACGGCTTGTTACAGGGATAGCTTTACATTTCTTACTAAGGAAAACTTTACCTTACCATAGTTTCTTAATTATTACAATATTAGTTGCATTCAATGGTTGGTGTGACTGCGTAGATGAAACTGATGTTATTCACTAAATGATACACGTTATCTCCTCTTGTCTTTTGTTTCTTTGCGGTGGTTCTTGCTTTATAACTGGCCTTCTGGCTGTTAAATAAGTACGCAAAGAGTAGTATTAGTAGTAGTAGTAGTAGTAGTAGTAGTAGTAGTAAGCCCTTGCTAATCCTGTTACAGTTCATCCGGATCGAAATATGAAAAATGCTGTTGAGTACATACTTTAAAAGACTCTTGGAATTTAGGAAGGCAGATGAGTCACTTTGCCGGTCACGATAGCCGAGCGGTCTACTGTCTTCGCTCGCTTGGAAACCGGGATCGTGGGTTCGAATCCCACTCAGGGCATGGATGTTTAGTGTGCGTGTTTCTGTGTTTGTGTACAGGTAGAGGCCTTGCGACGAGCTGATTACTCGCCCAAGGAGTCCTACCGAATGTGTAAGATCTAGAGAAACCGAAGTGAAAGGAGAAGTTCATGGAGGTAGGCCTATGCCCACTGGGGCTGTAGTGCCAAGGAAAAAAAAAAGATGAGTCACTTGTCTGTTCAAACAGACTTGTCTATTTCTTCACACCTGCAGCATTAAGATCAGAAACGAGTACAGCTTCTGAGTCTTTTAACGATGAATAAATGTATTGTCTTTATATAGTTTTTAAATAAAGGCTCTACAGTGTTATTTTGTCATTTACTTTCATCAGCACTACTTCTATCATTAAATTTTCCATTTATTTGTGTTCTAAGTTTGTTGTTTGTCCTTTTGTTTCACTAATCCGGATTATCTCTTAATACGGATGACCTCCCCCTCACTTACTCCGGATTAACGAGGGTTTACTGTATAAGGGTGTCGAGAATTTCCTTGGCAGATAGAAAACGGTCTGTTTGTGAAACAGACCAAGAATATCGTCACATCACTTCCGCAACTCTATGCAGTATTGTGCCCGATAACAGCACGTGACCTGTGAGTGAGGAGCTCCCTGACCTCTGAGATCTGGCGTCATGATCTATCTCCATCCATAAGCCCAAATCTTCAATGTCAGTCATATTATCGAGAAACCGTTTTGCTGGTTCCATGTGGCTCCATAAGCCTCGCGTCTCACTCTCGGGCCGTACTGCGTCAGAGGCGAGGTCGAGCACAGGCAGGTTCTGCTTCAATTGAGGATAATTGAAGGGAGGGAGGACTCAGGACCGAGCAATGGATGTCAATCCTGCAGTGCAGCCCACAGCAACAGTTCACATCTTCACAGACACACACATCCATTTTAATATTATCATCAGTTGGTATCGTGATTAGGCTACAGGCCAGACGATTGGTGAATCTGGATTATTTTCTTCTCCATGGCGTCCAGCCCGTTACTGGCACCCACTCATCTTCCTTTCCCATGTGTTCCGGGGACTCTTTCCCCGGAGGTAAATCGGTCGGAGCGTGAAGCCGGGCACACACTTCTCTCTAGTACTGAGGTTAATGCATGCGGCTGTACCTCCTTTCTCTCATGGTTCAACTTGTTTCCACAACGTCCAGACCGGTTTTAGGGCTCACCGATTCTTGTACACAGTGGGGTTCGAAGTGGCCAGGACGTGAAGCTGGCCATCATCTCCACTCCGTGTACACTCTCCAACACATCTTCTTGATGAGGTGCTTAATTAGTTACGCACAGAAAGAAATTTACCTTTTACATTTTAGACTACACATTTACATCGTAACTTAGTAAATCGATGGACGTTGGTGATTCGACAGAGGGACACAATGTCGAGTACAGCTCTGCACGCGGACATACACGTCCGTCTAGAATTGGTGGAGCTTTACATCTACGAGTAGTAACGTTCCCACCTCATGACTCGTGGTACGCGGGTTCATACCCGGCGGAGGTCGTGGAATTTTTAAGGGCGAAAAAATTCAGGGAACAAGTCCTCCGGGAGGGACTTTAAGCCGTGGGTCCCGTGTCGTAGCTTTACGGCACGTAAAAGAACCTCATATCTCCAAAGGTCACTGAGCCAAATTCAAGGTCATTTCCCGCCCAACAGTAGTCTCTAATGCCTCTGATAGATGGGGGAAGCATTATAGATACCGCCAAGCCAGTAGAGGCCGAACTCGCTGGCTCGGTCGGGACTGATGGTACGCACCAATATCGGTAGGGTATAGAGACTGGTAGAATATCATAGAGGGAAGCACAATGGACCAATACAGGTCTCAGTGCATGGGGAAACCCACCCTCTCCAATAACTAACTAACTACATCTACGAGTAAACTCCATATACGCCATCATCGCGTAGCACTACGTAAGACACAACTGAAATTGTGCGTTCTCTGAGTTCGTCTCCTGCCTCTGAATCACCACACCGGTTCCTATCAACAGCTTCACCGATTGCGTCGGGTAATGATCGCCGCGGTTTCTTCACTAGCTGAGCGACCTTTTTTTTTTCCTTGGCACTACAGCCCCAGTGGGCCTAGGCCTACCTCCATGAACTTCTCCGTTCACTTAGGTTTTTCTAGATCTTACACATTCGGTAGGACTCCTTGGGCGGGTGATCAGCTCGTCGCAAGGCCTCTACCTGTAGACAAACACAGAAAAACACACACAAACTAAACATCCATGCCCTGAGTGGGATTCGAACCCACGACCCCGGTTTCCAAGCGAGCGAAGACAGTACTTGCCTTAGACCGCTCGGCTACCGTGACCGGCTGAGCGACCATTAGCTTCTCAAAAATGACTGTGCTCAATTGAGTTGGTTAATTAGTTTGTGTGTCATCACGTAGGGTATTGTCAGTTCAGTAAGCAACAGGGCAGTCCGGCTGAGTTACGTTTCGATGTGTGCCGGTCTGTCAGTTAAGCTTTATATGCAGAAGGTCACAGATGATCCACGGTCCAAGAACACGTTTTTTTTTCTTTCATTTTTACTACAATTACGCACTCAGAATGACGTCTATTTGTTAAGTCCCGTCGCAAGGGAAACTCCGCACAACTAACACCGGAAGTTGAACTATTGCTTAACCCTTCAAAGCGTTAGCAACTTTCCGTACCACCTGCCACGACATCCACAAACTCTCTCTTTTATACACACACTGTATTTATGTATTTAGTATGACATTCACATTGTTGTATTTGTTGCAGTTGTTTGTATTTCTCTGTAATTGTTGTTAATCGTATTTGGTTTGTATTCATTGTGGTAGGATGTCCTCATTGTTGTGTTTTGTGTATTGTGTTTTGTTTGAACGTGTTGTCACTTAGTGTAATGTGTGTTACTTGTCTGTTGTGTCCTATTGTGTACTACTGCCACCGGGCTAAAACCCAATTGCAGTATAATAAAAATAATAATAATAATATACACAGCATTAACTGCTTACCTTTCTAATGGAGACGGTATATATCTCCCGTGAAGTATAAATTGAACAAAATTAGGCTGCCTCCCTTTCTAACAAGAATAATAAGTAGGTGTATCAGTTAACCTTGCTGTGTGTCCATTTCAGCTTTTTGAATCAGATACAGAAGAACAATGACATTAGGTATGAATGCTATGCCATTCGATCCTATCATAATCACTTTTTATGTTTCCTACTATGAATATGGCAACAGGGCAGTCGTGCGAACTTGTGAAATGCAACACCACGTTTTATATGGCCCTGAAATGATGTCTGATAACAGATCATAGGAATACGTGCGCCTATTTTGTTTACGTAATCCCTCTATAAAATGTAAAGCAGCAACATGGCGTCCCCGCGATATTTTTCTTTAGTTTTCTGTTCGGTAGTGATAACTAATGCACAACTGAGGCTACGCATGTGATATCTAGTGTGAAGGCAGGAACTTAGGTATATATGCATGCTGCCTGTGAACGCAAACATCGCGACGACGCTAAACAGGGATGTTTCATCCCACAAATTTAACATCTACAGAATGTGTACCGTAATAAGTTCTTATAAGAGTGAAGTAAATAACAGAAATGGAGTTCATAAATGTCCGGGGTGGGGGCTAGAAATCCATGCAACAGAAAAGCTTTAAGAGTTCTGTTCAAATTTTAAATTTAAGAGTTCTGTCACGTAATGAAGTTAAATCACACGTTAAGTGTTGTGTATATGTTAACATCATGACTGTGAAGTTAAAAACCTGTCTGTACGAACGACGAAATGCAAAGTGTCCCCCCTCCCTTCAGAACCGTCATTACTGTTAAGGGGCACAGCCACTGTTTACTGAGAGCGCCGAGAGAGAAAGGTAAGGAAAAGGTCGCGCCATTGCTCAAGCACGGCGGCCCGGGTTCGATCCCGGGTCTGGTCAAGTGAGGTTTGTGTTGGACAAAGTGGCGCTGGGGCAGGTTTTCTCCGAGTACTTCGGTTTCCCCTGCCAATCTTCATTCCGCCAATTGCTCCACAATCACCCTCACCTATCATCTGGGGCTGGTACAATAGGCCAGAAGTGGCCGCAGTAGAAGGGACTTAGTCCCACCCCACTAACAATAAAAAAAAGGTAAGGAAATATAGTAGAAGAGTGAGTGAAATGGAAAGTCGTGGGAGAAGCCAGAGGCACTTTATTACAGGATGGAAACGAGACCAGGCCTCGCCTTCTCGTCCTTTTCACAGGACAGTACAAAGTGAAGAGGTTGTGATGTTTAGAAGTAGAGGCTTGATACAGGCGTCGTTGGATTCTGATTTTCTGGGCTTCTGTCGAATTGCATAATATGGTAATTCTGAGAACCGAACGAAAACACAGATGAATGTACACCTCACAAAAAACATATCACCGCCACAAAGATCAGTCGATTAATATTTAGGGAAACAGTCGCTGTTTTTTATGAGAACCGAACGGAATACGTGAATACACTACCTCACAGAAAACACATCACCGTTCCAAACATCAGTCGCCCAGTATTTTGGAAAATAACCGCTGTTTATTGTGAGACACAGACAGAGCACATAAATACACTTCATGAGTCAAGGAACAGGCTTGTAGAACAATAACGTAGGAGGTACATATCATTACCACTGCGCTAAATAACATTAGAAGCTTACCGAACACGGCCAGGAGACAGAAGATTGAGAAGAGCTTGCTGGTAGGGACCGCCATTGCGCTGTGCATTCGGTCCGGAAGAGACCAACCAACAACTGTCAGTACAGCACAGTCAGAGCCGGGCAGGATGGACATGATTGCCAACACAATGCATGTCAGCCAATGGGCTGCGAGTCCAACTTGGCCCGCATACCAAGCTATCCTCAGTGATTCTCTCAATTCTTGGCACGAGTGTGAGACGATACCTGTAAATTGGCCACGACGGATAGGTTCCAGATCAATTATCCGCAATCTCATTCGGCGCTAAATAACTTCTGTATCAATACGGTGTCTTTAGCCCTTTAAAGACTGAATGTCTTCTAAATAGAATATAAAGGTCCTGTTCGTACCTCACAGGAAACACATTACGTTCTGCTACAAAGCCACAACCGGTTATTGCTGTTTAGGGAAACAGTCGCTATTTAGCGTGAGAACCATACGGAACACAGAGATACACTCTGTGGGCAGAATGCAAAGTTCTGGCATGTTAAAGCAGGTGGTACATATAGTGACCATTGGGCTTTAAAAAAATTAAATAACTTGCAGAACGAAAGTGGCAAACGAGCAAGCAGTATTGGTCGTGTGTGGAAGGTCCTCGGTTCAAATCTTGGCCCAGAAATTGGCCGCCGTGATCTGTTGTTGCTGTTTCTCATCCCCCCAGGCAAGTGCTCAAATTGGCTCTCAAATCGGGCCACTGGCGCTCCCTTCCCTTCAAATTTGTTGTTCGCTTATCCTAACATTCGACTCAACATGGTCTCCTGCTGATAACATCGTTATATAAACTACAAACAAATAAATAGCCTGCATGCTGAGTCATACATAATGATGGACGCGTGACCATCACATAGCACAGCCCGCTTTCCATACGCGTACGGCGGGAAACAGTTTACAAGCAAGCAAGGCGAACCTCGCGCAGAAAACTTGGTTCAAACGTATAAACACCTGTATCTGCCTGGCTGCTCTGCCGCCTTGAAGATGGGGGCATTACCTTCCCCCATAATACTTGTGAACTTCGACTGAACTAACTGCGCCACATCCAAGAGGACAGGACTTTTACTGGACTACACGGCGTAACACCATGTTAGGTGGGTCCCTTGTCACCACGGCATGGCGCGTTCTCAGGTTGCGGATGGAGGAGACACCCTCCAGGTTTGAAGGGAAGCTGCGAATGTATTGAATAATCAGTCGCGGACAGCCGACAAGGGGTGGACCTCCAGTTTGGGGGTTGGGAGTCGGGCTAACAACTCACCATAAAATATAATCATGTTACGAAAATTAACACAAAGCCTCGGACCTGGGAGGACACATCAGCTGCTGGCCTATGCCGATGATGTGAATCTACTGGGTGATAATGTAGATACCATAAAGAGAAACACACAAACATTAATTGACGCAAGTAAAGAGGTTGGTCTAGAAGTAAACACGGAGAAAACTAAGCACATGTTGCTGTCTCATCACCAAAATGCAGGGCAAAATCATAACATAAAGATAGGTAACGGATGTTTTGAAAATGTGGCACAGTTCAGATATTTGGGAACAACGGTAACAGATTGAAACCTGATTCAGGAGGAAATTAAGAGGAGATTGAACTCGGGTAATGCTTCCTACCATTCAGTCCAGAACCTTTTGTCTTCTCGTCTGTTGTCCAAAAACATAAAAATTAGAATATACAAAACTATAATTTTGCCTGTGGTTCTGTATAGGTGTGAAACTTGGTCCCTGACATTAAGGGAGGAACATAGACTGAGGGTGTTTGAGAACAGGGTGTTGAGGAGAATATTTGGACCGAACAGAGATGAAGTGACAGGAGGTTGGAGAAAACTGCATAATGAGGAGCTTCATAACTTGTACCCTTCTCCAAGTATAATTAGAATGATCAAGTCAATGAGGATGAGGTGGGCAGGGCATGTAACAGGAATTGGGGAGACGAGGAATGCGTATATGATATTGGTGGGAAAGTCAGAAGGAAAGAGACCACAGGGAAGACAATGGCGTAGGTGGGTGGACAATATTAAAATGGATCTTAGAGATACAGAATGAGATTGTATGGATTGGAGTGATCTGGATCAGGATAGGGAGCAGTGGAGGGCTCTTGTGAACACGGTAATGAACCTTCGGGTTCCATAAAATGGTGGGAAATTCTTAAGTAGCTGCAGAATTTGCGGCTCCTCCAGAAGGGCTCAGCTCCATGAGTAAGTACACGGCGTCACATCCAAGAGGGCAGTGCTTTTCAAAGCCACCGTTGTGAGAACACAAAATTGAACCAAATAAAGAGCTCTGGTTTTGGTTGAATGGGCCTCGGAACCCCCCTCCCTGCAACTGCTACGTACTCGACGACGAAAAAATCTGGGTTTCATTTCTATTTTTCGGCGACGTCCAGTCTGGCTCTGGTGCTCGCTCAGCATCCTATCCAATGGGTACCCGGGGGTAAAGCAGCTGAGGAGTTAAGCTGACCAAAACCCCCGGTGTCGAAATTAAGAATGAGTGGAGCTGTAACTCCACTTCGCCACATGTTTTAATGGCGCGGTGATTATAGAAGCACACGGAAAACTTTACATTTCCGTTACGCTTTCCTGCTTCAACTGCTGTTGATTCTGAATTTTGAATGGTGAAAACTAGGAAAATGAAACGTTCGTGAATTATTTTAAGCGGGCTGAGGCACATCTGAAGGGTCGTAATGCCCCATGTGGGGCTTGAAAAGTCAAGGAACTGAATGGATGTTTGTATCGTGGATGCTGCTATCGGAAGTCAATATCTGGACTCCCGACCTGACCCGTGACCTGAACCTTGGGATCTGCTGGGTGACGGAGCCTGACATGGCGCACAACAGACCCTTTGACCAAGGACCTCTCCCGCTGAGCAGAAGAACTGTGCTGCCTTCACTTGTATCAGCTTTACTTATGACAATATGGAAGGAAGGGGTTGTGGCCTAATTTGAGGTACTAGTAGCACGATAGCTCAGTCAGTATACTGACTAGGTTACAGACTGAACGATCGAGCAATCGGGATTCGATTCCCGACAAACGCAAGAGAGTCCATAACGTGCAGACCAGCACTCAGGTCCACCCAGCCTCGTAAACAGTGGGTACTGCGAGATCTTTCCCCGTGGGTAAATAGGCTGAGGCGTGAAGCTGACCACTCACCTCCATCTAGTGCCAAGCCTAAGAATACATTGAAGCTGTACTTCCATTGCTCCATATGTCGTGACGTAATGTTTAAACACATAAATCAATTTACATTTGATCCCGCGATTTCCTTTGAGGGACTGAGAAAAATGAGAAATATCTTATCAGAATAACCGGTCTCCGAGCAGAGATTTGTACTAAAGATTTTCCGACTTTGAAGCAGAAGTTCTGTCCATTGAACAGAACTCAGTCCTCTAAGATCCTGACGTTCATTGCTTGCACACACGAATTGTTTGA